AATAAATATTTCAGTGAGTAAAACTGGCTGTGTCTATAGTATTATAGATTACACAACATTATAATATTATTTTCGAATTAATTTGTAAATTATTATTATTGTAAATTACTGTCCCTGGATCAGTAGGGTACTCTTCTAATAAAGTAGCAGTGGCTGGGACAGATTTTAAGTATCAATTCTGCTTAAAAAGATGCGATCTAATCCTGTTTACATGAAATAAGCTGTTTACGGATCTGTTGCTATGACAGCAACTCCAGGATGAGCTTCGAAGAACCAACCAATCAGAGATCAAGTGAAATCGTCAACAATCAAATCCAGCTAACTGAGTTAGCGACAGACGAAGAACGGACCTGCTGTGTGTGTGTGTTTCAGAGACTCACGGTATCCTGCAGCGTGTGTGTCAGGCTCTCAGAGGTCGAGAGGTCAGCGGGGGGGTGTGGCCCCGGAACGAACGCACTCACTGATGATGATGATGCTGCGTTGCCATGGGGATAGTCACCAAACTTACTGTGGCCCTGGAAACGGTTGCCTGGGAAACAGAAGTTGCATAAGAACGTGTACATTTGTATTTACATAAGCGGTGTCCGAAACTGCTCCCTATGGTTGTCAGCCATTCTGTAGTGCTGAACGACTTCATTCCTTCGTTCACTACTTTTTACCCACAATGCATTCTCATTTCGAGTGTACAACTGATGTACACTCACTAAAGCACTATTTCCCACAATCCAATGCGGAGAACTGATAAGCTGGAATAGAGTTTGAATAGAGTTTGAGAGATGCCGCTTACATCTTTCTTATTTCTGCTTTAACGTTTATTTCATGCATTATTAATCAGTTTAATATTTCACTAATTTACGGGGGTTTCATCATTGTTAACTTAAAAAAATAATGATAATTTGGTGGATGATTTAAGAATGTTTGTTAATCACCTGTAGGTAGAGTATTCATTCTGATGTAAAATTAGTCGCTCTAAAACTATTTTTTTCTTATCTGAGCACAAAATACTGCTCGGGAGAGTTTCAAGATACTAAAAATAATAAATACATCAAATTATGACCATGCTTTAATGTGTGTTTATTTTTGTTGACAGTATTTTAATAGTATTTAATGATTATGAACATATAAGCATTACAAAACAAATTAATAATATACCATCGATGAAACCACAAAGCTGACGTGGAGGTATGTATAATTACAATATAAAGTCATTTTGAGTGTTGTTGTTATTAATATTATTTTCTAAAATAAGGTACATGTAATATAAAGTAAAAAGTACATATGTCTGCGACAGCGTGTCCGAATTCGTTCACTTCATTTCGTTCACTCCTTTCTGGTATAGTGCACTCAGCTGCCATACACTATATAGTAGGGATGTAACGATTCACTCAACTCACGATTCAATTCCATTCATGATTTTGAATCGCCACATATGTGACCCTGGAGCACAAAACCAGTCATAAGGGTCAATTTTTTAAAATTGAGATTTATGCATCATCTGAAAGCTCAATAAATAAGCTTTCCATTGATGTATGGTTTGTTAGGATAGGACAATATTTGGCCGAGATACAACTATTTGAAAATCTGGAATCTGAGGGTGCAAAAAAATCTAAATATTGAGAAAATCATCTTTAAAGTTGTTCAAATGAAGTTCTTAGCAATGCATATTACTAATCAAAAATTAAGTTTTAACATATTTACAGTAGGAAATTTACAAAATATCTTCATGGAACATGATCTTTACTTAATATCCTAATGATTTTGGGCATAAAAGAAAAATCGATAATTTTGACCCATACAATGTATTGTTGGCTATTGCTACAAATATACCCCAGCGACTTAACACTGCTTTTGTGCTGCAGGGACACATAT